GATGAATAGAGTTCTTGTACGGACTATCGACTTCCCTTCTTTCTCAATGCTTTTTGGAACCCCCTTTGGCGACGAAAGATAATTTTTCCTCTACTATGAGAAGTACTTAGAAAGTAAATATTCTCTTCGGCTCGTACCAAAATACCTCCTTGCTCCAATGATGGTCTTTGCGTACTCGAAGTGTCCAAATAACGCAACTCTATGCTGCTCCTCTTGCATTCCGGCATTTAAGGTCGTTCCAAGCCAGGTCGATAAATTCACGTAATCTATATCGACCCAAATGTGAAAAACTCGGCGCTTCGGTGGGATTCGAACCCACGACAGCTAGGAAAAGGCTTTAGTACAGCCAACGCTCTAGCCACTTGAGCTAGGAGGTCCCGCTGGAAGACGTGAGTACTTAAGCAGCATGCATTTTTTCGATTGATTTTCGATTTTGCTTGAATTTACAAGACCATCGAAAATCAATAGGAAAAATGCATGCTGCTTAAGTAGCCACTTTCCACCGAGTGCGGTTTCTGCAGGAGGTCGAAAATGGGCGCATTCAAATGCCGACATCCTGTTGCTATAGGGTTACGCTGCATGCTAACCAATATTACAATCCCACCTCATTAATCCTTCCTAATCGAAAACGCATTTTAGAATTTCGGCCAACAGTTCCGGAGATCGGTCACGCACTCTAATCCCATATTTCCTTAGTAGTATTTTGCGTCCACACGCTGGATAGTCATTGATTGGAGGGGATGTTAAAAATGCCTCTGTTTTCCAACCCGCAACTGGGCTACATCGGCGTGTTGTAGATCGTTTCCACCAGTCAGTACCGAAGACAAACGAATACGGGAGGGCCATTTTGCTTACGTCTCCGGCTGAGAACCCTCGAAGCCGTTAGGACATGGCCCAGTGGTGGAGTGCTGACCCAATGTTCAATCGAGCCTAGGTTAAAATTCCAGTTCCACTCAGCAGCGGGACTGACGATGACGATCATGAGAAAGGCAGAAACGACCACCCCTCGTCCCCATCTCGGTAGTGAATTCAGATTGCTGATCGGCTAGTTATTCTCCTCACTAACCCTTGTGGAGCAAGTGTTTGCAATTCTTCAGTTAAAAACCGGCTAACTATACAGGAGAGGAAATAACTTAACATCTGTAACTATCCTAGAAGTGCTCTCTGTCGCGAGAAGACAGTCAACGGAGGTAAAGAGCAATCTGAACCGAGATATATAGTATAGCAGTCCATTCAGCCAGTCATCTGCTCAGCTTTAGTTCGCGACTAGATTTTTGATTAAAAAGTACTTGTTTATCCGACAACGTGGAGGAGACTAGGCGATCCGCTGAGGAGCCGAGTCCCTTTCAGCTGCGCGATACGGCGACGAAAAAATCCGGCTAGGAGTTGGCATATGCGCTAAGAGTATGGTAAATGGCGTCCGTTCACAGTTGCATACTGACTACGCTTTACTGTTTGATTGTAAAAATTACGCGGTCATTCAGTTGCAGTTGATGTTTTTTCAGCAGCGATATGATGTAGGACCTAGAAGTAGATGCCGACTGCAAAAATGTGCCTTAAAATTCAGTGTGATTTTAAACATAACTTATTATTCACCGTTCTCATTATTTAGAATTTCCTTTTCCTCCTGACTAGATGTAAACTTGCCATTGGAGCTTTATTCATAGTCCTTTATTTTTGAAAATTGCTTTTTGTCTATTTTTTTATTATCGCTTTCATTTTCTTTGCCAAGCGACAGCGTTCGGCCTGACTTGCGGCAGAAATTCATCTATTTTCTGTCTTCTCGCTCTCGTTCTGTATGTTGCCTCACCCGTAAAATCCCATCTACCAACATTCAGCGTATGACACGGTCCATAGGCTAGCTCAAGTTAGTTCGGAGTCAAAAACCCTACCGTCGTCGTTTTCCATCTGAACAGTTTATGGAAGTTTGTGGCGCAAACGGCGGGTTCGGCTTCGGCAGTTTTACTTCAGGCCTACATGTCTGCTTTAGACCAACAAAATAAAATATGCGGAAACGGCAAAACCCTTTCTTCATGGTGAAGTAGGGAACAGTAATCTATTTCAGTAACTGTACAAATACAATAGTGTTAGGGGGCGCTCACCGATCGTTCATACGGAACTCACTCGTTCCGTTGTGCCTTAAGGGCACTCTCTCGAGCCCAACCAGCAGCCGCACAGCGGCGCATGATACATACGCAGAATAGCATTACCGACAAAGACAAGGGAGACTGGAATGGCCATTTCTGGCTTCTTAGCCGTCGTCAGCCAGTCATACCCAAGCCCGAAGTGTGGAACACCCGAGCCTCGAACTCGCGACCTGTTGGTTTAGAAGTCCACGCCTCTACCCACCGGGCCACGAGCCCGTTGCCCTGTCGGTTTTTGATCGGGAATATACAATTTTAGAGAGCCCTTAAGGCACAACGGAACGAGTGAGTTCCGTATGAACGATCGGTGAGCGCCCCCTAGCATTGTATATTCCCGATCGAAAAGCGACAGGGCAACGGGCTCGTGGCCCGGTGGGTAGAGGCGTGGACTTCTAAACAAATAGGTTGCGAGTTCGAGGCTCGGGTGTTGCACACTTCGGGCTTGGGTGTGACTGGCTGACGACGGCTAATAAGCCAGAAATGGCCATCCCAGTCTCCATTGTCTTTGTCGGTAATGCTATGCTGCCTATATACAATAGTCTGAAACCTATGACTCGAGGCAAAATTACAGGTCGTGCTAATGAGGATGTAAGCGACTGGAAACTTTTATGTTATTGTTCCTGGCAAGCCAAAATTCCTTCCGAAATGACTGCAGGAAAGGATATCTTCCCGAACCTTCGTAGGAATACTCATCGGTTTATTTGTAGAAAGACAAGTTGAACAACAATAATGATTTCAACAATTCTTACTTTGATCAGAAGAAGAAGAAGAAGCGATCGCTGGATCAAGGGCTTTATTCGCGTGACGTTTCTGACACTCACTTGAATCCATCATCAGAGCCACTGTCTCTGATGATGGATTCAAGTGAGAGTCCGAAACGTCAGGCCAATAAAGCCCTTGTTCCAGCGATCGCTTCTTCTTCTGATCAACTAATTCCTGGAACTCGCTTCTTCGCTTGTATCGGCAATTCTTACTTTAGCATATGTTAGGATATGTGAAAGCTCACGCAGCCAGAAAACCGGTGGTACTAATTGCTTTCTGGGCTTTAGTAGACGAACCTGTCATTTGCACATATAATCAACATTAGCCGATCTTGGGCTTGCCAGACGAACTTAGTTTTCAGGCCAAGAGTCATTGCTGTGGGAATTTCTGGGCAAGGATCTAATGCGCAAGAAATTTGACTCTTGCAGCAGACACACTTGGAGTAGTGTTTAGTTCATAAAATATCGGATTATCTCAAGAATGTCTTCATATATATTTTGGCAGATTTTAAATAATTCATAATGACCTAACTGTGTAAGACTCGGCGCCTCGGTGGGATTCGAACCCACGCAGTAAGGGGAAGGCTTTAGTACAGCCAACGCTCAAACCACTTGGGTTACGAGGCCCCGCCGGACGACACGAGTCTGTTGCAAGTACGGCGACAGTTCGGCCGCCGTTTACGGCAATGTCCACCGTGCGCTCTAGAACAGAGGGGAACAGGGTGCTGTGACTTGCGCATGAATTATATTATAGTGATAGTAGACTTGCACAGCATCTACCGCACCCTCTCCTCCCATCCCCTACCTTGACCCGGTATCAAGACATAGTCAAGAAGACCGGAGGTGGTGGAGGACATCGCAGGCAACGATGGCCATCGTGTGCACCACGCCAAGGTGAGGCAGGCACGGTGACTTGCGCGCGAGTTCCCTGTGTGATGGTGGACTTGCGCTGAGTCTACCGCACTCTCTCCTCTCCCACCCGGGTCCGGCGTCATGACAGAGTCAAGAATGCTGGAGGTGGGAGAGGGCGAAGGCGGCTGGTAAGCCAAAAACCCACGCCTAAACGCGTATCGCCACACCAACTCGAATCCCACCGAGTGGGAGTGTTATAGAGGCCGCATTAGGAAGGCACAAATGGGCAAAGATCGGATGAAGGACCCCAAACACGCACGACCAGCCAAAGGTGCCTGTCTTACGGGAATGGTGGTTATAGGGCTTTCACGGTCGAGGCCTTTGTATGCATAGAGGAAGGGCAAAATGAGTATACATAATTGGTAAATTCGTTTTTCGGCCGGAAGTGTTCTAATGCATTGACATGTAGCAACCGAAATTAAGCAGGAAAATTTAAAAAATAAACATTAAGTGTCTACAACGATTGCTTCTCAACCTTCTGGGCAGAGGTCACTGTAGATAATCCACCAGATTGTCTACAACGATCGCGTCTCAACTCTCTGAGCTAGGGTGCTTGTAGATAATGCATTGGACCGCCTAAAACAGACAACCCAGCCTTGTACAATGAAACACCTAGACCGAAATAATCGTGTCGGATTAAAACCCACCTAAATAAGTATAGTAGGCATTCTTTGTATGCCATAGATGCTTGGGGTCCTTCGCCCGATCCTAACCCACAAATGGAGCATGGCTCTCAGTCCACCCGTCGGTCATTCAACACGTAGACAAACAACTGGGCTGACTGTATGGTCTGAATTGAGACGTCGGTTAACAATCCTCCGAGGCACGCCTTTCAACTCACTGTGATAGTCTCAAACCCTGAAGAAGAAGAAGAAGAAGAAGAAGAAGAAGAAGACACGATCTCCGGGACGAGAGCTTATTAGCCTCTTGTCCCGGCGATCGTGTCTTCGTCTTCTTCAAGACTGCTTCCTGGGACTCGTCTCTTTGCTTCTACTGGCAGTCTCAAACCTGTCAGATCGTTTAATATGAGGAATATGTTCTGAGACCATCGACTTCACTCGTTTCAGCACCAGCGGTTAATGTATTTCCACGCGAAACGAGCGAATAGTGCACAGTCATTTGAGGTATTCCGAAGGCAACAAAGCAGCGTCAGTGTCGTTGGAAGTATGCACAATGCAATGGCATGGAGTCCATTTTTGCGATCCTTCTCGGCCTTCCAGCATTGAAGCACGGAGAGCTCTGCGGCATTTTCGTCAGATGTACCAGCTTTCCCCGCCGGATCGGAGATGCTGAAATGTTGGTGAAATATCCGATCCCGGTTTCCTTTAGAGGAGAACTCGTTTCCGACGCTGTAGCGAGTGCATTTTTACTTTGCGTAAACGCCGACGCCGCCGCCGCCGCCGCCGCCGCCACCACCACAATCCTCATCATCAACAGCAGAGGCTGCGATGGGAAAAATTTAGCCCCACCCGGTCATCGCTGCGGCATCGGCTGTGCGCCGCGGGATGAGAAGGACGTCGGCGCGCCTTAGGAACCAGCATCGCTCCATCAACACGTCGTCACTCTCCAGTATGTAGATAACTGGGGGGAGGAGCGAGTGGGACGGAGTGGGAGAGGGTGGGTGGGGGTGGGGGGCGGATAAGTTAAGTCTTTGTGTCTGAATGCCGACAGACAGGGGGTCACATGCGGAACCAGTGTACAGTGGGCAATAACCTGAATTCCACAGGCGGGGCATTACTCACTGCAGGCCACCGGGCGCACCAGAGAGCGCCGCGCGATAAAACGCGCGCAGTACTTTGTGTACCAGCAGCGAGTGTCGGGCAGGGGGAGACAGCAGGTCGACCCAACCTGGTGCTAAACAAGTGAGAAATGTTGGCGAGGGGGGCTCCTGTTGCCATGATGAGCAAACAGACAAATTATCTAGATTACTTTGTCCATAAAAGGCCCTATTAAAGTCAGTTAATTTGCTAATGTGGTGTAGATGGGAGTGGGGGGAGGAGGCTGTAAAGAAGGTACCTCTCGCCGGCGGGTAGTTCCATCCCAGTCACCATGTATGGGGTGCTGGCCTGAAAGTTGCCTGTGTGACGAGGGAATGGAGGGCTCACGTCGATCTGGTCTCTCCCCCCCCCGGACCTAACCGTAGTCTAATCCCTTGAGGCTGTGCAAATGGAACGTATTTACGATCATCATGACGAGTAGCATAAAAGTCACTGCCCCAAGATTCGCTCTTGACAAACCGTCAGCAGAAGACCAACCCTATTTGACTGTTGGTGGACATGCAATTGCCAACCTCGCGGGCGAGGGCAAGACGGTAGATGAGCAGTAGGTTGTAGGACAGGATAAGAACTTCGGTGGATTTTGTGATAACGCATGGGGGAGTAGACATTTGGTTAGGTTGTCTGACGTCGCAGTAGAAGTTCTCTTGACGTAACAAGATAATGTTCTCACTAACTAACGAGTTATATCTCACGGGCCCTAGCCTTAAAGACAGCAAGTAAAGATGAGCAGTGAATAATATAGAGATTTTTAACGTTAGGTAACCTGGCAACAGAGCGCGTCAACCACGTAGGCCAACAAGGCGGGTTGTACAGGTGTGTCGTTTCTCGTCACGTTCAAACAAGCAATCCGGTCAAAGAAAATGGGGTTAAGCTGTCAAAGGTAAAGTAGTCCGGTACCTCACCGCACTCTGATCTAGGGTGCTGGACAAAGAGACAGTGAACGCGACCGGTCGCTTTGCCGTCCAGATTAAATATTTCACATTACATTTTTTTATATTGTATTTTTTTAATTGACACTATCTTACAACGACACTTCAATGCGATCAAGCAATTTGCTGGTCGAATTCTAGATGACGTTGCCCATCCCCTACATTTTGATCTTTTGTCTGCCAAGTCTTCCCGCCCGATGCGCCGCAACTTCCGTCTTATATCCTGTCGCACATCGGCTTATCGAGCTTCTGTATTGCCATTCCTAGCGCGCTATCTTACGTGCGAAGAGACGGAAACACAGAAGCTAAGACTTGAACTATGCCCATAATAATCGTTTCTTTGTGTTAAACTTTGACTCTTGAATAATCTATTAACTTATTTACTGCCCATAGTGAATGGAGTCAACTTTTTGCCGAAAATAAAGCGCATTTTTCTCTCTCTCTCTCTCTCTCTCATTACAAATGCCAAAAAAGCCGGGCAGGCGCAGAGACAGGTCCGAAGAATCTACTTAAATGGAGCGTTGTTTTTTCATCAGCCTTCTGTCTTGCTGATTCTGCCTTGACCACGCCAATGAGCTGGTGCCACGGCAAAAAACGGTAAGATGCGATAGTGCAGCCGCACCTGTTTGGCACAATACTGTTAGGGGTTAGGGGATAGGGCAACTATTTCTCAAATACTCAAAGTACAACCGCGCATTCCACAATAGCTTTTCTTTTCATACAATTACTTGAGCTCGTTGCCTGTGCGTTCCCCGGCCTCACCTGTTAAAACCCCTATTACCACCGGTCCCGTATTACAGGCGGCTGGGGTTTGCTTACCTCAGGTGAGGCGCAGAAATATTACCTCTTCTGCGCATTTTAGCAAATTCACTCTTCCATGCAGACAGAAAGGGCGTTTTCCCGTTTTTTAGAATTTTTTCGACTTCCGAATAATTTTTTGTCGCATATGTCCTTACGTCTGCATTCAGGATTTTGCAAACTACAACCTGTATACATTCCGTCAAGGGAATATCAAACATCTCTCTGTGCTGCTGGAAAGGCGTCATATAGGACTGAAAGATAATGCAAATGAGTTGGACTAGGTCATATGCTTTATAAGTGACCTTGATAAACGTGATGATGCGATGCTGTACGAATGAACATTTCACGGTCTTAAAAATTTCATCATTCCAAATTTCTAAAAACCAAAAACACCCCAATCTGAGGTATAAAACTTAAAGAAGACGCTACTTGCCACCAAATGAGTACAAGAAAGTACGATTTTTTTGTCCGTTTCCTATAAAGTCAAACGTCAATGGCAAAATGTCTTACTACCTTAGCATTCAGTCTTTACAGTGTGTAGTTTTCGCAAACGGCCGATAAGAGGCACATTCGAGAGCCGACATCCGGACGTGACTGAAATATGCTGTGGTTATGCTGCATAGTAATTACTGTTACAAATCTACCATGAAATGTCAAACGAAATTCCGAAATGCTTTTTCACTTCGAAAAGATTAATTAAGTAGGGTTGTAAAACTAATCAAGATGCAGCGTAATTCTATGATAATTCAGTTAACTCAGGATGTCGGCTTTTGAAAGAACTTCCCATCGAGTGCATGCAAAGACCATACTATGTAAAAAATGACCACTTAAGTAGCATGACATTTTCTCATTGATTTTCGATGCTCTTAAGAATCCAATTATAGTTCATGGAAAACATGCATAAAAATATTCAATGTTTTGCTGCGAGTCCCGCAGTCCGGACCGCTGTTTTACGGTTATGTTTAGGCGGCTATTCCTTTCTGTCCATCTGACTAAGCGGATTCTTTTACTATGGCAGATGCCGCTCACAGATTGCATTACGGGATATACAGAAGGTGAGCTAACTCATGAAATGTCAAATGAAATTCCGAAATGCGTTTTCACATCGAAAAGATTAAATAAGTAGGGTTGTGAAAATAGTCACAATGCAGCATAATCCCTTGATAATTCAATTACCTCAGAATACCGGCTTCACAATGAACTTCTTTCCGGTTGCATGCAAACACAATACTCTGTAAAAATGACTACTTAAGTAGCCCGCATTTTTCTCATTGATCTTCGATGCCCTTAAAGATTCGACTATATTTCATGGAAAACAGCATAAAAATATTCATTATTTTACTCCTTTGGTCGAAACTTACGTTTTCTTTCAATCGTATGCTCGAAGGAAGGGCATACTTCGGATTTATAAAGGATCTAGTTGTGAAATGGCCTTTCATAAAACGCCATGTCCCTGCATTTACCAATGCGGCGAGGAAAGTTAACAATATGGCTGAAGTTCACTGCTAAATTATATGAACCCCATATGGTCTCTTCTTAATATTGTGGAGAAATGTATGGTTTCCGTGCGCCTGAAAGCAAGTGTAACGGCAGGTCGGGGTTAAAATATTTGAAAACCAAATTATACCCTTTCTTCCAGTATAAAATTGGAAGAAGACGTCATTTTCTACCGAAAGGGCAAATGAATGAAGATTTTTATGCCTTTTTTCCATGAAATATAATTGAATTTTTAATAGCATGGAAAATCAATGAGAAAAATGCATGCTACGTATGTAGTCATTTTTTACAATGTGTGGTTTTTGCATGTGGCCTGCAAGAAGCCCGTTCGAAAGCCGGCATCCTGTGGTAACTGAATTATTATAGAATTATGCCGCATGATGTGTAGTTTTACAACCCTGCTTATCTAACCTTTCCAAAACGAAAACGTATTTCGGAATTTCGGTTGACATTTCATGAGTTGGCCCACCAACTCTACTCGTCCGATGCTACCGAAATTCCACCTCTAAGTCATGCAAACACACGTACACAGCTGTCATAGGCATGAGAAGCAGCGGTGTGAAGTCTAGCTCCAGGAGGAACACTCAACACGATTTTTTGTTTGATTTTAACGCAGTCGCATTGTTTAGGGGTTCTATTTGAGTCTTCAATGTAGATTAATTTTACCTTCTCGACCGAACGGCGTCTATCACTGTCTAAGGAGGCTGAAGCAGATGCTCTGAGGTGGGATACATGCATCAGAAAATTTTGGGAAATCCAAATTTGAACCCTCCCTGCTGCCATGATGAAATGGCAGGGGGATGTTGCGACAACGGTTCAAAACAGAACATTCCTGAGCCACGACTGTGACAACCAAATGCCTCAAAAATTGCACATCGCAGCATGAAAATGCTGTCTCGCCAACGAAAGCGAGGTGGGCCGATGTGCTGAAGATCTAGCGTTGACTTCCAACTTGGTTTTCTTCGCGTTCTTCGCTACCTCCAGGGTTTTAACTCGGCGAAAGCGCGTTGACGATTCCGTCGGAACAATTTACAAAACACGCGTGCGCGATGTCTGCTAACATTGGTCTCTGACATATTGAATGATGATAACCAGGCGTTGGCAGTCTACCCGTAGTCTTCTGCACCGGACGCGAGGTGGTGGTGGTGGTGGTGGTGGTGGTGGTGGTGGTGGTGAACGATAATCAGAAGGTGTCCGCAGCCTGTTCGTAGTCCTCCGTGCAAGGCGCTCACAGGCCCTGTATACAAGGAGGAGGAGGAGGAGGAGGAGGAGGAGGAGGAAGGAGTGAGGAGAAGGACAATAAATCACTTACCTTCATTAGCATTCAGATGACTTTTTCGGCGCCCAGTGGCAGTGTCACCCAGTTTCGCGTCCTTTGCCCTGTCAGCACGCGAAGTTTGGACTTTTTGAAAGTTGCATTTTCTCTCAACTGGTCTGATTCTTGTTCCCCCCCCCCTCCCCAGTGTACTCTTTTGGGCTTTTTGTTGCACAAGCGAGGAATTCGAAGGCGCGGATGGACCCCACCACAGTCAGTCCTCGTCAGCTTGCCTACTGCATTTGAGGCTCGAAGGTTGGAAGAAGACAGCCCACTGCGCGGTCAGCTGTCATTCGCGTAACACCAGGACAAGCGTCAGGAGTCATCTGGTCTTCAATGGGGTACTCGAACGTACTTTCTAAAAATTCTCACACACACACACACCCCGAAAGTTTAAGCTGCTTCCGCTAAAGCTGGTTAATCATCTTTTGGACAAATATGTATACATGTACGTATGTATGTATGTATGCTAGGGACGTTGGATTTCTAACCAACAGGTCGCGAGTTCGAGCCTTGGGTGTTCCCCACTTCAGGGTTGACTATGACTGGATGACAACGGCTATTAAGCCAAAATGGCCATTCCAGTCTCCCTTGTCTCGGTCGGTAATGCCATTCTGTATATATCTACGTATGCTTGTAAGCTTATATATGTAGGCAGAATGGCATTACCGACAAAGAAAAGGGAGACTGGAATGGCCATTTCTGGCTTATTAGCCGTCGTCAACCAGCCATACCCAAGCCCGAAGTGTGGAACACCCGAGCCTCGAACTCGCGACCTGTTGGTTTTAGAAGTCGACGCCTCTACTCACCGGGCCACGAGCCCGTTGCCCTGTCGGTTTTCGATCGGGAAAATACAATGTTAGGGGGCGCTCACCGGTCGTTCATACGGAACTCACTCGTCCCGTTGTGCCTTCCGGGCTCTCTCTCGAGCCCAACCAGCAGCCACTTGGCAAAGTTGTAAGTAGGCGATCCAATGAGCGGCACTAAGATCCTCAACGGTGCATCTTCTTTGTGTACCTTTGGGAGGCCATAAGCACGTACGATATGAGTGTCATTGGGAGTCAGACATTTGGAGTCCGCGGGGTTTATGAGCTTTTTCTGAGTGAGCTCGTTAACTTTCTACTTTATAGATGTGGTCAGCTTTTTCGTCGGAGCAGATGCACCGTTGAGGATCTTAGTGCGGCTCATGGGATCGCCTACTTACAACCTTGCCAAGTGGCTATACAAGCACCTAAAGCACCTCACTAATGGATGGCAGTACAGCATCGACAACTCGCACGCTTTCCTTCAGAGGATCCAAGGCCTTAATGCAAGCCCTGATGAATGCATTCTATCGTTTGATATGATTGCTCTGTTTTCTTCAATATTACATAACTTGGCGATTGAGAGCGTAGCCCGACGCCTAGATGAAACTCCAAGTGGGATTCTAACACAGCACGTTTAAGACATGCTTGGGCTCTTCCTTGATTCCTTCTTTCTTCCTTCTTCAACTCGATAGCAAGTATTACCAACAGGTCAAGAGCATCTCAATTGGTCCACCGATATCGGGGTTACTCGCCGAACTAGTCTTGTAAAGACAAGAAGAAACTGTTATTCAATCCATCAGACCAAAGATGTGACTCCGCTATGTAAATGGTACCTCCGTAGTCATAAAAAAACTGCAAAGTGGAACGACTGCGCCAGAGTCTTAACGGTGTCTTCCCCGCCATGCAATTCACTCGCGAAGAAGCAACAGGGGACTTCTTCCTTTTCTCGACGTCACTGTACAAAGACTGAGTGATGGCGATCTCGCAACCAGCGTCCACAGCAAAGACTCCAATCCCGAAATCATCCCCAACTATAGGAGCGACCATCCTGTGGCCCACAAAAAAGCTGCGTTCTAACTCTTTTTTTACCGGGCCTTTCGGTAATGTATCAGCGAGTATCTACTCAAGAGAGAACTCGCCTACTGATACGAATTATTCCGACCTACCGGATATTCAGTTAGTTTAGTGAAAAATCGCCTCAGACGTCAGAGGCAACCGCAAGATCGGAGTTCAAGTGGTGAAGCGGCACAGAGGAAATATTATTCATTGCGAGGAATTCAACCTCTTTACTTTGTTCAATAAGGTCTCCCAGCTGGGTCCTTTCGTCGTTTCTGCTGGTGTATGTTTTGACAATCATTCCTCGGTCAGCTTTTCCCGGAAATTCGGAATCTGCTTGAAGCAGGTTTTCTAATCCCGCATGCTTTGGTGAGGACAATTGCGCCACCGTTAATTTCATTTTGCGAAAAAAGCGTGCTTTGCCCGTCAGCCGTCCACTTTAAGTACGCATGCATGGCTCAGGTCTGTGGGGACACCTGGTCGATGCAAGTCACATTTTGTGAGAAACAGATCCTGGCGGACAAGGCAGACTATGAAACCGGTAAACATTAAGTACCCAAAGTCATTTGACCTGGAGCTGATTTTTTCGGAGATTGTAGATAGCATACTAACTTGATCAGGCCACGATCACGTCCCATATAGCATTCCTACCTGCGCAGCGCTCAGTGATAGCGGATATGCAGAGTGCGATCAACGCTCTTCTCCGACGATTAGAAGTCGAATGTGGAGTGATAGTCGTACCTAAGTCATTTTAGTCATTTAATCTGGATGACTGGGGAGACCCTTGTTATATCACCGCAGATTTTAACCTATTTGCAACTGAGTAGCCTGCTTACAGGCCAAGAAGATCGGAAGTCCGAAAACATTTTCAGTTGACTATAGGAGCAGATGCTGTGCCACTTGTATTATGGAAGCACACCCTGTTCGCTGAGATCGGGAGTGCTCAGGGCTCCATGGAAATGGCCTTCACCCCACTATTCTAATTTCAAGACAAGATATAGATACACCTGTTCCTCTCGGAGCTCCAGACGGCGACATCGAGAGTACAACTCAATGATGGGTCGTAAATAGTTGCATTCCTCCGCTACTCATTTATAATCTTCCTATTAGATTCTCGGTCTATTAAATCGAAAGAATGGTAAACTCACAAGTATCCCGTGTATTTTATCTTCTGCCGTCGGTCGGTATTATTTGCTTCTGGCCAACATCACCGTTCGACGGCACTTTCAGCAGGATAGTTTCTCCAGAGCGGGGCCCATCCCACTAGGTGAGAGCTGATACCTTGCGAAGTTGAACGCGACGCGGACTCCTTCTGCCCAACCACGTTTCAGTCTCCTCCCCCCCCCCCGCCAATCCCATTTATTCCCGTGTCAGCACAGACGAATGCAAGCGCCAAGAGGGTCTGCCTGATTTGCGGGTTTTGACATGCAGGCTGTTTGTGCCGCTCTTATGTTTGACCCAAAGGACATCGTTCCAGTGCAGAAAAAATCCAAAATTGTGCCTTCTTTTTGCTTTCTTACTTTTCTCCTCTGTTTTTCGCCCTCTTCCCATGAGAGTTTCCATTTCTCTCAGCACTAAAAGCGCCATGGCCTCGATTTTTAAGACGTCCCTTGAAGACAGGGGGAGGGTGTGAAGGCATCCGCTTGATGAGATGATATTTTCGAGCTCAGCGGAGTTAATACTTTGTCGATACAAAGAAAACCACGACTTTGTGGAAGCAGCTGCGATTGCATCAAGCGCGACCATCTGTGACGAATTTGGAAGTCGCCAATTTTAATAGTTTTGCAGGGACATGCAGTGAGTGACCTATCTCATGAAATGTTGGCTGAAATTCTGAAATGCGTTTTCGATTAGGAAGGATTACTTGGTCGCGGTTGTAATACTGATTATCTTGTGGCATACTCTTATAACATTTCGGACTCGGAAGGATGCCGGCTTTTAAATGCACTTCTTGTCAATCTCCTTTAGAAGGCGTGCTCGGTAAAAAAATGACTACTTAATCAGCATGCATTTTCCCATTGCTTTTCCATGGTCTTGGAAATTTAAATATATTTTATAGAAACCATAAACAAAAATATGCTTTCTTTTAAGCAATCAATAGAGAATCACGTTTTCTTTATATTTTATACTTAAGGAAGGAGTATAATTAGGTTTTAAAAAAGTTTTCTAATTGCCGAATAATTTGAAGCCTGATCATTCGTTGCATTAGCGCTTAGTGATTTCACTCTACAAGGTGCATTCGTTCCGTGTAAAGAAAATCACATATTTTTCTATGCCATTAAAGAGACATCATACGGAATCCATAAAATTTTGCAATGGATGCGGACCATGTTGTACATTCCATGAGGAGCAGTGGTAAACGGCCAGGTACGATGCTATGTGAATGGACATGTCACGGTCTTAAAAAGTCTCATAATTAGAAACTTTTTTAAAACCTAATTATACACATTCCTTAAGTATATAGTATAAAGAAGACGTGATTCTCTATTGATTGATTAAAACAAAGCATATTTTTGTTTATGGTTTCTATAAAATATATTTAAATTTCCAAGACCATGGAAAATCAATGGGAAAAATGTATGCTAATTAAGCAGTCATTTTTTTATCGAGCACGCTTTCTGCAGGAGATTGAAATGAAGTGCATTTAAAAGCCGGCATCCTTCCGAGTCCGAAATGTTATAAGAGTATGCCACAAGATAATCAGTATTACAACCGCGACCAAGTAATCCTTCATGATCGAAAACGCATTTCAGAATTTCAGCCAACATTTCATGAGATCGGTCACTCACTGTAACAACCGTATCTTATAAATAGCACAACTCCGCAGACATTCAGTGCCGGGATCTGATGCTGTCTCTGATGGTATGTTCGATAGTGAATCCTAAATGTCAGGCGATCGCGTCCCCATCTCAAAGCAAAATCGACTGAGTGTATGAAGCAGAAAGGCTGCTTAGAGACCGCTTTAAGTATAATTGTCTGGGGCTCTAGTACTGGGTGGGGAGTCACTGAAGTTGTCGTTATACCGGCGGGTGGAAGGTGGTAGTTTTTGCTAAACATTGCTTTTATGCAACTTCACAGTAAGTCTAATTCAGTCATATAGTCCCTGCTCAGATGAAATCAGAAACAAAAGGAAAAGTTGGTTGGGATACCTGGGATAAGAATTATGCTAGCTCTGCAGCCGCCGCCGCTGCTGCTGCTGCTGCTGCTGTGTGTGGCTTGTGACCGCCGGGAATCCTCCAGATAACTCACGATGTCTATTTCGTAGTCTACTTGTTCAAGAAGACTGGAAATGGTTCGCCATAGCGCGCGCAGTTGCTTCAGCCTCTACCTCCTTCCCCTTCTCTTCCTCCTCCTTCACCTCCTCCTCTTCCTTCACCTTCTCTCCCTTCTATTGCTCCTCCTACTCCCTCTTTTTCCCCTCCCCCTCCTATTTCTCCCCCTTCGCCCCCTCCACTCCCTCTCGTCTGTTCTCCTCACCCTTCTACTCTTCCTCCTCCTCCAACCCCTCCACCTTCTCCTCCCCTCCTTCTTCCTCTTATTTTCCTCCTTTTCCTCCTCACCCCCCACCCTCTCCATTCCCCCCTCTCCTTCTGCCCTATCCTCTACCCCTTCCCCCTCCTTCTCCTTCCTGCTTCTCCTCTTTACCCTCCCTGGCAGGACTTATGATAAATACTTTCTGTATCCGTCAATAGGACCACGTTTTGACCACCTAGCTCCTTCACCTTTCGAAGGAAATGAATTTTCATACTAGTTAGCCACCCGTTTAAAAATTGCAACATTGTTTCCCTCATCTTCGAAATGTTAGGCCAAAAACTCCACAGTTTGCGAGAAAATGCGTACGCAAAAGTCGGGCGCCAAACTATTTCTGCATGACAACTGTCAGCAATTGCTCTCGTTCAGGTTGAAAAAACTGCGATAGACGGCAAGCAGTTGGTGAAAAGGGCAATTGGCCGGTTCGGACATTACTGCAATTGCAAGCATTCTGCACCCCTTCTGGCTAGGAATATTTTTTCCGTCTCATTTGCGATTCAAGTCGCTGGCTTCCAGAACAGGCGACCAAGCAGCTCCTGGCAGTTCACTAGTGGTTGTGGTTGATGAATGGTCGAAAAAGTATTCGATTTCAGTTGGAATAACTGCATTTTTTGACGTTTAAAGCACACATTCGATGTCCGCATCAAAGGATTAAAAATGGTTAACATCGCTGAGCGTCCCTCTAACACATACATATATATATATATATACATTCAGGAATGGGCACACACCGATCTATTGGCTTCACGAAGCAAACAAGCTTCGTATGGGCGATAGGGGACACGAACAGGCAACCACCTACCAGGCCGAAGTCGGCCAAGCTATGATAACAGAGGGGAGACTACAGAGTCTGGGGGTAGATTGATACAGCACTGTTTCGGGCTTGTTTGCCTCCGGCTCCCGAAGGAAACAAGCTTCGTATGCAGCGACAGAGAATGGCAAGTGGCGAGACACTGATGAACTTCGGTTCGATGAAGTACTTATGACCCATCTGATAGACCCCAGTGGTGGATCAACTGCGCCAGGTGCGTCTGTGCGCATGTTTGTGTTTCCGGTCCCAGCTGCTGGTGGTCAGGGTTATGATTGGCTGAATGAAGGCACAATAAGCCCGAAACAGTATTGTATCAATCTACCCGCATTCTCTGTCGTCCCCCCTTGCTGCTATTATGACTTGGCCGACTTCGGCCTGGTAATTGGTTGCCTGTTCGTGACCTTTGCCACACATACGGAGCTTGTTTGCTTCGTGAAGCCAATAGATCGGTGTGCGCCCATTCCTGCTTGATATATATATATATATATATTTCGAAGAAGAATGAGTCCTTTGGGAAAATGAACAAACTTTATTTCGTAAAGTTTCGAGTCTGGTTCCCCAGCTCGTCTTCAGACGTGTAGTAAGCGACTAGTAGTAGACATAGATGAGATGGAGCCGACAAAGACAAGGGAGACCGGAATGGCCATTTCTGGCTTATTAGCCGTCATCAGCCAGTCATACCCAACCCCAAGTGTGGATCACTTGAGATTCGAACCCGGGATCTTTGGTCATGGAGTTTGACGCTCCACAATTGAGCCTGATCGGTGAGCGCCCACTATCATAATTAATATTCCCGATAACAACCGACAGGACAACGGGCCCGTGGCTCAATGGTAGAGCGTCAAATTCCATGACCAAATATCCCGGGTTCGAATCTCAAGTGATCCACACTTGGGGTTGGGTATGACTGGCTGATGACGGCTAATAAGCCAGAAATGGCCATTCTGGTCTCCCTTGTCTTTGTCGGCTCCATCTCATCTATGTCTACTACTAATCGCTGTGCGACTGCCTGCGAGGGTTCTAATATGAGCCCCAAGGCACAACGGAACGAGCATGTTCCGTAACCTGATCGGCGAGCGCCCACTATCATAATATGTATATAAAATAAAAGGAGAAGACTGGTCGGAAAATCGAGGTATACTTGTGAATTTTCAAGTCGGTTACACTAACCCGTCGTCAGACAAAATGAAAAGTGTGAGGGAGATGATCACACTAGTGACATGGGGGGACATCGAGGTTACATCGACACAACAGACGTCTGTGTGTGGGGGTGAAGAACGTGTTTGGATAGGTGGCGGACGGTAGGGGAGGTGTTGTGTGTTTCACACATGGTTCACTCTGTAGGGGAGGTGCTGAATCCGTGATATTCTACATGGTCGAACACAGGTTAGCAGTTGGTGTCTTAGGGTGGGCGCAAGCCGGCGAACCGTGAACGTAAGCCTTCGTAGTGAGCGTCCAAGTCGACAGGGCGGTTGATGCTATTGTTATTAGAGTGCCAAGCTTCTAGAAACTCTCGCGTTTGTTTGTTGTTCGCACTGGCGATTATTTCGGTCCCCTCCCAGTTGATGCGGTGATCATACTCAAGGGCGTGCGCAAGCACGAGAGACAAGGGGTCCCGTCGGCGGATGGCCAACTTATGTTCGTTAATGCGCGGCATACCGGCCGACGACTTGAGACCCGCAAAGGACTCGTTGTGCTGTCAGTCGCGATTGGGAATATACAATGGTGGAGGGGCGCTCATCGATCGTTCTTACGGAACTCACTCGTCCCGTTGTGATTTACGGGCTCTCTCTCGAGCCCAACCAGCAGTCGCACAGGTGCGCATAACAAAGGTCGGGGACGCAAACGACGGGATAGCGAGTCTGTGTCTGAGTGGTTAGGGGCAAAGAACTTCTAACTAGCAGGTAACGGGGTCGAGCCGCATGTGCTGCACGCCTCCACCATTGTATATTCTCGACTGCAACCGACGGGGCAACGAACCCGTGGCTCAGTGGTTGGGACGTTGAACTTCTAAGTAACAGGTTGCGGTATCGAGTCCTAGTTGTTGCACACTTCGCGGTTGGGTATGGCTGACTGAGGACGGCAAATACGCCAGAAATTGCTATTCCAGTCTCCCTTATCTTTGTCGGTAATGCTTACCTGATCGTCTCTCCCTGTCACCCTCCGAGTCAGTGAATTCGTCAGTCAGATAGCCGTCTCCGGGAGGTCCAGGGCTTGCCTGGTTTTTTTCTCTATGGAGCCACTTCGCCACCAGAACAGTCCAGTCGAGATCTTTCCCTGCCTCATTCTCATCCACTGTGTCTCTGCGCTGTGCTTCCTGCACGTCTCCGTGACCCGCGCACAGACTTGTACGATCGAAAACTCTTGCCAGCGCCACCTGATCTGCTGACTGGGCAGACTGATAGCGGCTGTAAACTGACGCTTTTAATATAATGGCTTTGCTGTCAGTTTCACCCCACAGGGTCCACTGTGCGCTTCTGATGGTGAGAACTAACTTGCTGCAGGCACAGTCACCCCTGCGGTTGCTGTTACAAGCCACGAGAAGTTGTTTCATACGCCTTTTTAATGACCAGGGCAGCATAAAGAGGCGACGAACACACACACACACACACACCGAACTCAGCACTTTCGGGTTAGCACCCAGTCATATACATCCCTTATTTGCCTCCGGACTTCCACGACTAGCGCTGCCGCCCCCCGTGCCCTCACTCGGGGGGGAGCACACACCCTGGCGTGGGTTTGGACATAAAAATGTGGCGTCACTTGCGCCAGCGTCACCGCGACTTGTGACGAGTTTGGCCAAATTTGGGGTCTTCCCGATGCATTAGGCGCCTACGGCTGCAACAGCAGCGGCTGCGGCGGCGGCGGCGGCGGCGGCGGCGGTGATCACGCGAGCACTCTCGCTTTCGGCCGAAACAGGCGGATGGATGGGATGACTTCGCTGGCCTTTTGGGGTCGCCGCAGGAACCTGGCATTGTTCCGACCCGGCCTTAATCCCAGAGTGCTTCCACGACTCCAAAGGGGGTCAGCTTTCTGCGGTCGGGGGCGGACAGGATAATAATGAGGGGGGAGAGGGTGAGGAGGAAAAGGCGAAGACTGTTGCTGTCATCGGATGTCTTTCCAAGAACCCGTCCCTACCTATCCTTTTTCTGGGGCGCTAATGTGTCTGGCAGTCATTACGAAGTTCGCAGTTAGGAACAGGCCGCCGGGCTGAACTGGAGTCGGGACTGTTCATTGATGACAGTTCGCAGCATAGTTGGCATCTCTCGAGGCGTTGCGCAATGAAAGTAGTTCCAAGACAATTGTGTGAGCGTCAAAAAAATAATAGAAGGGAAGAGGCGAGTCCCAGAAAGCAGGCTTGAAGAAGGAGACACGATCGATGGGACAAGAGATTTATTAGCCTGACGTTTTGGATTCCTGCTCGAACCCATCATCAAAGACAAAAGTAGATACGGGTGGTTCATGCACAAAGGGCTGCAGTATTTGTAGGATGCAGTCGCCATGCTACCGCATATTTATGAATATTCACGGCTCTCCCCCTTCAACAGGGATCGTTGTACTTGATGTGACGACTGTCCGATGATCGACATTCGCGTCTTTAATTGCGACAATTTCATCGCGTCAGGGTTGGAGTCGCACACAGACTGGAGGCGACCAGCAGGCATCAGGTAATGAAACCGAAAAACCCACTGCCACGGCTAGAGACGTCTGGAGTCGTTTATAAGATGTGGTGCAGTTGCCGACAAAGCAACTACGTCGGAGAAACCGGAAGACAACTCCGAACACGAATGGCCGAACACGCTGCAGCGGTGCGACGAAAAATGACGCCAGCTCTGAAGTTTCGGCTCATTCGACGAGATCCGGCCACACATTCAAATTTGACGAGGCCGAAATTCTCTCAAGAGGTGTCAATCGCGTAAGCCGAGAGCTGCTTGAGTCATGGTTTAGTGGCCCCCAGTCCATTACCAAATGCGATGACCCTCCCTTCTATACTCAATGCTGAGACTTCGCCTAGGCGGAGTAATTGGTCACGTGGGAAGCGCACAGGCGAACACTTTTCTCAATGCCAGATCCGATGGATCAGATGGTCGAGACTTCATTATACCAATATCCAACGCAAGTAATGAGATTGCAGCAATTAACGACGCGAATGTCCGCCATCAAACAGTCAGCACAGCAAGTGAGACGATCTCTGATGAAGGGGGAGCCGTGAATGTTCATAGGTATGCGGTATCATGGCGACTGCATCCTATAAATACTGCAGCCTCTTGTGCATGAACCATCCGTATCTGTTTTGTCTGATTTTTTTTTGATGATGGGTTCGAGCAGGAATCCGAACCGTCGAGCTAATAAAGCTCTTGTCCCACCGATCGTGTCTCCTTCTTCAAGTCAACAAAGCAGCCCGAATC